CGCCCAGATACCATTCCTCCCACTGCCCCTGCCGCCCTCTGGCTGGGACTTTTTTTGAACAAACACCTTTCTCTTCACTCTCAAGTATCTAAAAGTTATGCTAGGAAACCCAAGTATTTTGACTCCATCGACCAGCCACCACTTCCGTTGATTCCCCTCTGAGGGCCCCACGTCCCACACCCTAAGCGGGCGAGGGCCGCGCTGACTGTGAGAAAGGAGTCGGGGGTGTCGTGGGGAAGCGGTGCGGGATGGATGCCTCACAGACACGGTGTCCCCCTCCAAACTTCCTGCTCTGACAGTCGCCAGCAGCAGCAGGCGTTAAGGACTGGTGTGTGAGTACAGAAGGCCTGACATGCTTGGCCCACTGCCTCGCTGAGCTACCAGCTGAGAGCAATAAATCATGAGGACCGCGGGGCCGGGCTGACGATGTGGGACACTACAATGCATGGAAATAAGAGGTTTTATCATTCTTAATAAGAGCAATCTTTGGATTATACTGTTTGCACACTCAGCCAACCTAGTGTTTTCAGGGTATTTTTGGCACACATAACTTGACAAAAGCATTTAAAAATGATCCTTAACTAGCCAACTATCTCCTAAATTTATTATCTTCAGTGCTTTGTGATAATCACATAGATAATTTTAATGGAAGATTAATGTAATAATCAAAAGATAAAAACGCCCTTTGGTCTGCCATTAGTTGGTTAATATGCTGTGGCTTAAAACTGGCACAATTTTATGCACTATAGAGTGTTTCACTTTCAATGCATTTTACAGCTTACGGCATAAAAATATAGGGAGTTTTCATGGTCAATAAAGCCACAGCCTCCATCACTCGATCACGAGAAGAACCCAATTTGAAGAGACCAATGATTCCTCTGAGGTTCATCTCGAAGCCTGCAGAATTAGGGACCACACATGGCTTAGCTCAGTTACAGCTCGGGGTTGAAGGGACAGGCCCGGGACTCCTTCGGGCTGGGGTTCAAGCAGAGGCTCCAACCTTAGCACATTCTCTGGCTTTGGGCCTCTATTTCCTCATCTACAAAATGGGGATGATAATGTCTACACTCTGCAGGGCAGTCGTGAAGATTAAATAATTACATACAATGTCTTGTATGCCGTTGGTGTTCAAGAAATGAGAGACATTAATGTTTCCACACGAGAGAAGAACATGACGGGATAAAATCACTGGACGGAGACTGCCTGTTCGTAACATCTTCTTTCACATTGGCCTCTGGCCCGTATCTCCTCCCTTCAGTTTCCATCAAAAGCTCTCATTTTATGCAAAACTTCTGAATTCTAGAACCACCACATGCAGTACTTGAGTCTAGGCCTGACACCTGGAAGAGCCTCCGATGGGAACATTTCTGGCAAATTCTGGGATGCGGGGCCGGGGCCTCAGTCACTCGGTGCCGGTGCAAAGCCCACAGTCACTGTGGGGATGGCAGAGAAGGCTAAGTATTTAAATTGCTATAAAAATCAGAGACAGAAAACATGAAATTTAATCTTCCATCAGGATCATGACCATTAGCTCTCTAAGTAAATCAGGTCTGGGCTTGCTGTGACTCTCCTGGAGTCTCGGGCGTGATGCAATATTTCTGCAAACATTTTCATATGAAAACAGACATTTCAGGAGAGGCGACAGGCCTCAGGGATTTTGCAGAAAAGCATCTGCTTCGAGGGAGCATTTGGTCCTGGAAAATGATTTCTCTGCACTTGCTCTCGCAGAGCCTCGGACTGAAGTCATAAACCCGTGTTTCTGTCATCAATCTGCTGTTGTGAAAATTATTTTGATGTCAAACACAGGATTATAATTTTACTAGAATCCTTCTCAAGTCTTGAATATTTTAATGCTGGCTATAAAAAAAGGCCAGCCCCTGATGGGGTAATGGAATATTTCTTTACCTGGTCCCCGAATACTGCACAAGTTCCCTGTGCTGTCTGGTGACAATCTGGCAAGTTAACTATTAGCTTGCTGGTTTCAGGCACCGCAGCACGCCCCGTGTCCCCACCACCTGGTCCGAGGGGGGCCCTGGTCCCGACTGTCCCCCCCACCAGCTTTATCCTTCCATGTCCATCTACTACTTTTGGAAATCTTTGGCAGCCATGAGGACGTGGCCTCGAAATGTCTCTGCAAAACAATGCCATTTCATGGAAACCTCTCTTTCAACTCCTCAAGGGTGCACACATCCGGGGGGTCAGGAGCCCAAGTTCTGGAAGCTGCCAAACCTGCGGTCAGGTCCAGTTCTGCCATTCATTGTCCTGGCTAAGATCTGTTTCTGAGTCTCAGTTTTCATCTAGGAAATGGGATGAAGTGGGAAAGATTTTTACAGTATCGTCTTGCAGAACCATGGAGATTCTGCGAAAGAAGATAGATAGTGCTGAGCTCAGGTCCTGTATTCTGCAAGCCCTCAAGTACAGCTTAGCTACTTTTATTATTATTACTCGACGGCTTTCACTCTCAAGAGGAGAATGAACACTAACTTAGGTAGGTTTACACGACCTCATTTGACACCTGTTCCAGGAGCCCTTTGCTGCGGTGGGGCAGGGTACCTACCATTATCTCCATTTTACAGGCAGAGAAACTGAGGCCCTGAGAGGTGATGTGACCAGCCAGAGTCACACAGAGTTACCAGAGTCACCCTCTGGCTGTAAGCCCTGCTCCACCCGAACTAAGCAGCTCTGTTGTTGCTATCTGTTCCGTCTGTGGAAGATTCGGCTTGAAGAAAGCACTTTTGGTTTCGAGAAGTCTGAAAACCACTAGTCCAGGGCGACTCAGAGTGTGGTGCACAGACCGACAGCCTGGGCAGGACCTGGGAACCTCTTAGAGATGCACTGTCTCGGGCCCTACCCCAGCCCTCCCAAGACCCCAGGAGAGCTCTTCTCAGCCCGTCTCCATTTTGCAAGGTTCTGCGTGACCTGACCTTTCTGCCCCGCTCTGCTCCAGCCATATGGGCCTGGGTGCCACCCCCCAGCCTCACACGCTTGCCCTGCTTCTCCGCCCTCCACAGGCTGCTCCCGGAGATGCGTTTTCTCTCTCCCCACCTGGTAAAATCTGTGCCTTTCATCTAGCCGTCAGGGTTCAGCTCTCCACCCGTCCCCTCTACCCCTGTCAGTTTACCTTTTCCACATCCACGTGGTACCTTTGTGACTGTTTAACAATCTGTGTAATGTAATGTTTAACGTGTGTCTGCTCTGACAGAGGAAGAGCTTTCTGGGGGCAGGGCGGGGTCCGTCACCGCAGCATCCTGAGTGCTAGCCTGGCACACAGAAAGTGCTCAGTGGGCCCGGCTGAGGTCCAGTAACATAGGATTGTACCGTCAACTTGAACATGTTTATGACAGGTTGCTAAAATTACCTTGAATACATTAAGTGTCTCCACACAAGAACAACAATCTCCTTGGAGCCCGTTCCTGGAGCCTCAAGGAGCTCCTGACAATGGATAGGAGGAGAAAAATGGTGCATAAAAAGGATAAATACACGAAGAAGCAGGATTACTGGAGGAGGAAGCCCCAGGGGCTCCGCTTTGGCTGACGTGGGTGTGGAGCCCTGTCCAGTGCGGGGAGGGACACTCACCTTGAGTACGATTTCGTTGACGGTAGCAGCGTCAGACTCAAAGTAGAGGTGTTTATAGTCATGATTGCTTAGATACGTGAGTTTAAATATTGCATGACCTGGAGAGAGAGAGAGAAAAGGCAATGAGGGGGTTCTGGCGACTTCCCTTTGGGGAGGCCCTCACATATTCTCCCCCTTGTCATTCCAGTTCAAGCAAGAGCAAGTGAAGGCGGTGAGGCCGAATGCTCCCAGGAGCAGTTCATTTTTCTCATCACAGGCCAGGGAGAAAATGGACAGTTAAAAAAAAAAGAAATCAAATGGCTAGTTAGGTCTCCTTCCACTCTGGAGCGTGTTCAGGGCATGCCACATTAGGAAGGCTGTGCAGAACTACGTCTATACGGTGAGTACGTGGAACAGGTGGCAGTTCTAAGGTAGACGACCAGTTAACCCCAAACGATTACCGTGAAAATAAAACTGTGCTTAAAGCCAAACGAGCAACAGGAAGGGCAGAGGCTGCCGGCAATGCCATCGCAAGGCTTTTCTGTGGCTCCGGCTACAGCAGGGAAGGGCAGTCCTGGTCTTGCGACCCTGAGTGGAAGCTGCTCCTGGACCTCTGGTCACTTCTATCCTAGAAGGACGGCACTTCACCCAGCTGTCCGACCTTGGGGGGCCAGACCCTCTGAACACACAACTCTTTCCCAAAATCAAGTTCCTGCACGCTCCTTTCCTACCACCTTCAGGATAACCTTGTCATTTCTGGGACTGCTTCCTGTCCAGCCTCCCCTCATGCTGCCCTCCTGTGCACAGGCCAGCCCCCGTGGCACTGCACACGCCCACCAGCCGAGGCCTGGGGCATCGTCTCTCACTGACCAGTCCGGAAAAGACCTGCTGACCCTGGGTCACACGGCTCACCTGCTCCCTCCTGGGGCGAGTCTTCTTAGCTCTACTCCTAGATACCCTTCTCAGGCAGGCCTCCTAGAATACATGCGGCCTATATTGTCCATGACACCTGCAGACAGGGGTCATGTGCCTGTCCTTCGGGCCAGATGTGCCACATTCCCTCCTCTAAACAGAGATGCCGGCCTGTTTCAGTCCCAAGTGAAGCCCTCCCTGGCCCATCAGCACGTGCTGTCCTTGAGTTGTGGGAGACCCTGTGGCACTCTAAGAAAGTCCTCTTGCTCCTTAAGCTATTTTGAAGTCGGTTTCCATTACTGGCAACCCAATGAGCATTGCTTCCGAGAGACATGCAGTCAGTGCTCAGCAAAGTTCCCAGACTCAGGAGCGGCCGGTGACCTCCTCCTGCAGACAGCCTCAGAAACAACCTTCCCTGGTCTGCTCCGTAGACCTCAGTGCTGGTGAGATTAAGCATATCCTTTCTAATAGGCCTTCTCATCCGTTTTGCTTTTAATTGAAACAGCCCTGGTCATAGTTATTAATTAATAATATATCACCCACATTACTGTAAGTTCACTTCTTTCCCGGAGAAATCTTCTTGGGGACTTTATTTACAGTAGCTAATTCTTCAGATCTCCAAAAATAAACTGATATATGTTGTACATTTGTGGCCAGGGAAGTTGAGCTGCTGGTATTTTATCCTGGAAACATCATTATGATATACTAATTGTGACTATAAATTCTATATTGAAAAAATTAGCTAATAATTTCTGAAAAACCTCACTTTCAGTCACTTGACAAATTTAGCCTGATTCTAAATCATGGTACTAAAATGTTAGAATTCCTAGCCAGAAGCTAATCATTCCGTTAATATGTAAATGACTTGTTTCTGATAAGAAAGTGAATCTCGCATAAAAAGATGTATCTGTATGTGTGGTGTGTGTTCCTTTGTCTTCACAGGACCCGCTTTGGAAGAGTAGTCTTGATGGTGATATCACTGTGTGGAAGAACAATGCAGTTAACCGTTGGCCATGCTGTGATCAAGTAGGGACATCCATGAAGGTCACAGGGCTGTGAAGGACAAACAGAGACACGCCCTCCAGGAGGCCTTACCGCTGACACCTGGCCATGACAGACACAGACACCAGGGCCTGGGGCTAAAAAGGACCAGAAGGTCTTGGGGAGGCCTGTAGACCTGAAGCTTCAGGGTTCACTGACCACTTTGATAAGGGATCTCATGGACGGTCTACACCACCTGCTCCCACTCATCACTGGCAAAACAAAACCAAACCTCAAGATGCCAGACCATGTTTTGCCCCAAAACTGAAACGCTATAAAAACCTTTTCTGCACTACATGGCAATATGTGATATGCAGTCTGCACCGGCCTGCGGGAGCCTCTAGAAACCCGGACACTGTCCTCTTGGGATCACGCTGCCTGTGGAGCGTATCGACTGCAGGCTGATAGAGGGGAGGTCTGCAGCTCATCTGTACAACGGTCACATGAAAAACAAAAAGAAAACATCCCAAGTCTCCTGAAAGGCTGCGTATTTGGGCCAGGTGAACACAAGCACACTAACACCTGTATTTTGCTGTACTGGGGGGCTGCGTGTGTTCCCTGCTTGTTCCCGGTGCTCATTCCAGAGCTCCAAGGAAAAGTGAAGCCGACAGGAATGATGAAGAGTCCACCACTCACCGCCTCTCTGAAGCCTCTGATTTATTTGTCCTTTCCAGGGAAAGCATTCACATCAGAGAGAAGAGAACACTGAGAATGTTATCTAGAGTACTTGTATTTGAATTTCAACGAAATCAGCCCTTTTATGATTATTACAGAGCCACAGATGTTAATAACTGGGATGAGGTGTGGGGAGACGGTGACAGCACAGCCCCTTCTTACTCTGTGGGAGAAATCCTGAGGGACAGCTCTAGTGTATAAGCTCAGGTTAAAATCAGCAGCCATGGTTTCACTTATACCGGAGCCATGGGCTACGGGGTCAGCTCAATCCAAGTGAGAGTTTTTGCTGTGAGGACTGTTTTGTTTGGTGGCCAGTTTTACTCAGTTCAGGACCTGCCAGCAGCACAGACTTGTCCAAGAGCCAGAGGAATGAACAGAGAGCCGAGAATAATGAGCGCCAAGAGGGTGCTGAGTGCAGGTTGCTGCTGTGGAGACCCCAGATGGAGGTGGGTGGCCCAGGCAGGGAAGGGTCATCAGAGTTTCTTGGAGGAGCTGATACTGGAGCAGTCTTAAAGGAAGATGGGGAGTCAGCTGGGTAAAGGCAGGGGTGGAGAAAGAAGCACCAGGGTCAGGACAGAGATACGGGGGCCAGAGGCAGTACGCCTCCGGGAGACCCGAGCAAGCTCACAAGCAGCGGGGCAGGCAAGAGATGACACACGGCAGACACAAAGTGCTGGAAATGCTGGATTGGCCAGCTCAGGGAGCCCCTAGTGGGTTGCAAAGCTGGGCAGTGAAGTAAATGGTCAAACTGTGCTTTTGGGTGTTCACCCTGGCTCCCAGGGCCAGGAGGCAGGGAGACCAGCAGCCAGTCACCCAGGTAGGAGTGTATGCGGTTTTGAGCTGCACAGGGGGCAAAAAGGATGCCGAGAAAGGGACTCACTTGAGAACTGTAGAGAAGATAACACTGGCAGGATTTGGGGATCGTTTTATGACAGAGTAACAGTTAATAAGCAGGATTCACACTTGTGTAATTTCATGGAGTCCAAAACCTACATATTAAGGTATAACAAGTTCGTTGACCTCTTGCTGGAAACAAATCCATCAATAGACATGAGTTATACATACTACATGGTAAATTTCCACCAGAGGCAGAAGGGAAGAAGGAATCACTGGCATTTCAATACCAATTGAACAGGTGTTCAATTAAAAACAGAATAAGAAAAGTCTGTTATCAAATCTTTATCAGCCTCAGGCACCTACAGGCTCACCTTAGGTAAGGGAGGAAGGGGGCGGATGACCTCCTGAGCTGCAGCCTACCGGGGCATCTGTCCTGGGATGTTGGTGGGAATCTGAGCTGGGTAGGTCATCCACATCCTTGAAAACTCAAAGAGCATCCGCTTTCACTGGGGGGGGTGGGGGGGGTGGGGGGGGTGGGTGGTAAGCCAGAGGGGCAAACAGTCTTTGTAAAAATGTCAGCTGAGAAAAAATTATCTATCAGCATGATTGAAAAGAAAATGCAAAATCTAATACTTCAATCAGTCTGAATTATTTTGCTTGGATTGCTAAATTGTGTTTGGAAGCTAAGGCATGACAAAAAGCCTGGGACACAGAGGGGAAAGTGTGAGCTCTGGATTCAGACGGACGAGGGAGTTCCAGTGGCAGGACCGGGGCAAGGCACCATCCCTCCAGGTGCCCAGGTCTGCCCCGAGGCATCTCACGTGGCGCCCGGATACAGTGGGGCTCCGTGGGCGGTGGCGACTGTTCTTACAAATGTGATGGAACCGATATCTGAAGAGAAAATCCTCATTATTTTGAAGACTGTGTTTTTAATTGGGTCGCCTCTGAGATTTGCTTTTAGTGTTGTAGAAAGAAAATGAAATATAATGGGGCATAAAATGGGCACCTAAGCTATGGTCACATGCTCAGGGCAGACACTGAAACTATACATATGCTTCTGAACACTGAAAGGGAAATCCGGATATGTAAAAATGTATTTACATTATACATTTTTTCCCAAGTAAAACAGAGAAGATGGAATGGAACGCCAAACAGAAACTAATTAGCAGCACAAATGTCAGAAGTGGAAACGCTGGAGATTTCGTGCTCTAATTTCCCTTCTGTGTTATGAATTTTAACTTAAACAAGAGGCGGTGCCAGAAAAACAGGTTCCTCTGGTCGTTCAGAGGGTAATGACCAGAAATCACTCCCAAAAAGCTGATGTCACACGAAGGTCAGGTCGGTGTAAGGGCAGAGGGACAGGAGCTTCTATAGTCTGCCAGAAGCGCTCCCAGATCTCCTCTGCAAATGGGATGGAGATTACTGTTTGAAAGGAGCCCCCTTCTAACATAACCTGCTGGCATGGACTGTGGTTGGCAATAACTGGGCAGAGCTGCCTTTTCAATCCGAGCCTGCAGTCCACCTTTGTGTAAAACACCCCAGGTGTCACCAATGGTCAGGAAAGCCAAAAACAAACATTCCTTCTTCTCCTTTTCAATTAAAAACGTATAAAGTGTATTTTAAAACTATTAAAAATTTAGGGTGATTGGCATTG